CTCTCCCCTATCGCTCGATTAACGTTGTCAAACGTCATCGGAATCAGTGGCAACGCGATCGACGCTTTAATTACGTTCTATTGAAGATCATCGTTTAATTTGTCAATAGCGATCCTCAAGACTTCGATTTGACCTCGGAACGTTTGTGTTTAGGTTATCTACTAGAGCTCTCCAAAAACGACCGACAAAGCTGGTTCAAACTTGTTTAACACTGATTTTTCTCGTTTGAAACAAATTTAATCATTTCTGGCGCCGCTAAGCTAGACTCCTCTTAGTTACAAACTTTAACGTATATTCGTGTATCATAAAAGAAAGACAAAAATTAGGGATTTTTCAAAGCAGCCTTCTTGATCTGCCTATAACTACTACAGCAATTATACGAAAGAGTCGTTTGGCATTATTAGCTGTTCCTGTCAGTTTCCAAAATTAGAAAACATTTTGCAAAACGAAGAACTTTACCTCTGTTGCATTTCTGTTAGCAGTAATACATTTCGGATGCGTGCAAAGAATATTAAAATACATTTCGGATGAGTGCAAAGAATATTAATAAAGAGAGAGAAGATCAAGGCTATAAACTATCAGTGGCAGTATAGCCAAAATTAGATAGCAAAATAATGTGATATCTACCCAGCATCCTCTTTTCTCAAGTAAATAAGTGGTTTCTCTAAGAAGCCTGGAGAAACCGCTTAGTTACTGCGCAGCTAGATGTCCGGCTTAATCGGCGGAAATTGGCTACTGAGTGTGTGATTTTTAGTCGCTCGCTTCACCATCTAAGGAAGTGTGAAATGAAATCTTCGCATTCAAAAAAAGCGGACAGAAATGAACAACTAACTTTATTCAAAACGAAGAGACTACAAATGTTACGTATTTAATTTATTTTAAAGAACATTGATACTAGTTTGCGTCAGCCCAAAATCGCAGGTATTTTGAGGGCTATTTTTCAGCTTTTCCATGTTCGAATTGGATCTTTTATTCACATATTCGGCAAAATGTGTTTCACGATGTCTTTCAATCGATATCTTTTTTGCTATGATTACGTTACACTGCCGATTGTACGTAAAACGTACGCGCTAATATTTGGATATGGAAAAATAGTAGATGTTATCTTTGCGCCACTAGAATAACCCCGTCGGCCTGTCCGCAAATATGCCAGTTTTCGTACATAGTATCAGATCTAAGAAATACTTTCACTTTTACTAGGGGGTGTTTTTCGCGTGTGTCTTGGTAAATATTTATTAATAGGTGTATTTACGTATAGGAACTAGATCACAGAAAAGATATTGTCCAACCTACTTTTATTTGCGCACTCAGAGTTAAGTTTGTACAGACGTAAGCATAAAAAAGGGAGTGCAAAACAGTGAAAAGAATAATGTGCGAAAAAGTTGTACTTGCAAGCAAGATTGGGCTTGTCGTTTTAGCCATGCGCAATTCCGGCATCGGAGCCTTCAGTTACAATGAATGTACTTTAGAGTCGATACATGACGATAGTTAAAAATCCTATTATCTTAATATTGGATTGAGTTTCCTTTTTCATTTGCGTCATTCAGTGAACTCATAATTCATCGCGTACAATTGACGGATCAACATCATTTAAAAAAGGATAAATGAAACCTCCGACGATACGTGTAAACTGCGTGAAAGGATGATCTCTTGTGTATTGGCAAAAATGCCGTCACGAACGTTCGCACAGATTAATATTGGAAAGAAGCCTTTGTAGGTTAAAACACGAAAAGCTTTGTTATACTTAACTTGGTAAAAACACTTAAGATCTTTTCTTTTTCTTTCTCTCTCTCTATCCTCTTTTTCCTTATTTTATCTAACTCGAGTTCTAGGGTACGTTGCGACGTATTCAAATTCAACCACCAGTTTCCTTATTTTAACTTTTCAATTCCTTTTCGGCGCGCACCGAAGTGAAGTTCTCTATCAACGGGAAACAGAACAAATACCCTCTAAGGAGCATTAAAATCTTGGAATGCGAGCCACAGCAAGGAAATGCAGTGATATTGAATTTGCGTCAAAAAAACGACCTAACAAGTATTTACAATTGGTAAAAGTGTAAGGGTGTGGGTTCTTGTCAACTTCGACTTGAAGATGTTTAGGTGAGACTCAATGTAGTTTGGCGTTACCGACAGTGAATCGGACTTAAGGTTCAGTCTTTTATCGAGGTTATTAGGGCAAAACTGACTCATGAATAGTCATTCTGAAAGGCAGCAACAAACAATGTATGAGGTTTAACGAAATCCAGTACACCGTCCGCGACGTGTGTTTACGAGGGTTGATACCGGAAAATTACCGACGCAGAACCAAGTGCGTAATTATAGTATGTCATCCCACAAAAGTGCTCATTAAAATGCACTTAGGAGTATGTAGTTGTTGATCTCTTAATATTTCTTAAAATTTATGATTTTATTTCGCTAATACCACTGTCAACAACTATTCCGCAAATTATTTAGAAAACTCATGTCGCAAGGTCGACGTCAGACTTATTTTTCTTTCAGGGATAGCGTATTCGTCTGTTCTTTCTAAGCATGCGCACAGAGCAAGGCTTCTATTGTTTGGGGGGCGTTGAGTGTCGGCGCTTATTTCGTCATTCCAATTCAAAATTTAATTTTATGGACTAGTAGGCACGAAAAACAATAACATGTTGTTAAGGTAAACACACTGATCTTTTAATTTCCAACGCCTTTCTCGAAAGTTCGGAAATACGATAGAAATAGGACTTTATATCTCTTTCTAAAACCACTTTCCAAACGTAAAAACCTGCAAAACCCGGTATCGTGACAGCGCCTGATATAACCAAACTTAAATAACACTTGAGAGAATCAATAGTCTTTGTTTCTTAACAACATAATGAGAAATCAAAACGTGCTAGCTGGCATCGATTGAACATTTTTAGATCTTTTGACCAATGCAATGAACGGCGGTTTGCTTTAAGGTCAACAAAATAACTTCATATCCGTTCTTATGGAGCCTTTTAACTTGGGCTCTTAGTTACGCTGCAGGAGTTCCATTTTTGTTTCTTAATTGTTTTATTTGCATAGATTGACCTTCGGAACTGCCTCTCTTATTAGAATTCTGCCCAAAAAAGACTGTTTTCATCGAAAATGGTAACAGGAAATGCTTTTTTTTCAAGGAGAAAAATTCGTTTACCAGAGACCATTTTCTCGCCAAGGGGTTCGCTTATTGCTTATCTCTAACGCGCTAAGCAATGCACAACAATTTTGTATGATGCAATATTTTTGTCGCGGTTCATTTCATTGTTTAATAGGCACTGGATAACGAGCCTGTTTGCATTCCCGTAACAATATGATGTCGCATAAATCACGGAAAATAGAGAGAAAATAACGTGACTTCCAATCATTCTAAACATGTCGCGTGAAAAATTGTTATGTAACTTTAGTATGGGGGAATAATGAAAAGAAACAAATACCATGGGCTAGGAAGGATTTTTCTTTCAATACGAACTCGAAAGAAAGATAATTATTATGTGTATTTGGTTTACAATTGGTTTGGTCCGCACATTCTTATGGTCATACACACCCCCAACCCAACCCGACACTACTCCTCTTCCCCAAAACAAAACTGAGGAGATGTCTTTCACGTGTTCTTGTGATCTCGCTCAATATCGCATACAGTGATCAAAAGTTTTATTAGTAAAGAATTGTGCTCAGTGATAATGTACGATATTTGCCTTAACTGGGAGAAAAACAAATGACGTTGGTAACTAAACAACAGGGAGCTTACGCAGAATGTTTCTGAAAAAATGCATTTGCGTTCTTTCAATCTTTATTGGGTTAACTTTTAAGCAAAATATAGCCGAATTTTCCGGTTTCAGACCCTCATCCAGTACCTTACGAGCAGAGGTTTTTCTCTTGCATGGCTTTTAGCGTTTATGCGAACGCAGAAGAGAAGGCCTCTGCTCGCAGGGTAACACCCAGTAATAGAAAAGAAAATTCGTCGTCGTGTGTCCACGTCTTCGATGAAACGTCACATTAGGACTTAGTTTCACTTCGTGGTCTTGCTGTGGACGTTTCAGAAATATACCAAAAAGCTTGATGCTCGTGCAGAGTTGTTGCTTTGCTTATTAACTCTTTAAACCCTAAGAGTGATTAGCATGAAATTTCTCCTTATAATATCAGTGCTTAAGAAAACAGATTGGTCATGAGAATTGAGTACATGAATCAGGGAAGATGAGTCTAATTGATATTTCAACAAATTCTCCCCATTACTTCTATTGAAAAAGTATGGGGACAGTAAATGGGAATCTCAATTTTGATATTAGGGTTTAAAGGGTTGAAGTTACTTCTTTTTTGACGTTCTCGTTGCCGTCGTCGTGATAGTTGCTTAAGCTCCCAAATGACATGACAGCATCAACCACTTTAGAAACCAGTACAGTGTCCCAGTCACCGAAAGTAGAGTCAATGGGCGCTTTCCATTCAACCCAAAATTCCCGAATTTTTGATTGGTACAACAAATGGAACAGACCATTTCGGTTTGGTCCGACCGGAATATTCGGGACCAGCTTTGGAGATGGTCCACTTTGACTGGTCTGGTCATTTCGGTCAGTCGGACAGAAATGAAAATATGTTGAAGGAAACTTGTCAATAACCTTCTAGAACGTTCGTGTAATTAAAAGGGTGTTATTCTGGTATCAAAGACAAACAATGTGATTCGTCGGATTTCTGCAAGCCATTTACTCGCTTGTATGTAAATATTGGGACCGGGCCGGCTGAAATTGGCCTCAGCTGTTCCGGTGTCCTGCCGACCCCTTCTTTAATTTATTTACGTTGTATGTTTTTTTTTGGTTCACGAACACCATTAAACACTCAAAGTCCGCTTACATGACAGACCCAATTCTTTTAAGATTAATCAACAGGAGATATCTCAAATTAATCAGTTGAGGAAAACCCGAATGTCCGTTCCCATCGTAGCTGACAAGTGTACCAAACTAAGCAGTGGCTCGCGCGCACTAACTAAATGCCTTTAACTATCGGCTAAGGGAAAATCAAATTAACAGTCATCTTCATCTTGCAGTTATGCAGGCGGGGTTTGCTTTCCTCGAGGCCGGCTCAGTGAGGTCGAAAAATACGACCAACATCCTCATCAAGAACGTCTTGGATGTCTGTAAGTAATTTATTTGTCAGTAGCGATTTTTGAACAGAAAAAAAAAAGCTACCTTTTTAAAAAAAAGTCATATTAGATTTAAAAAGTCTCATATGCTACCACGGTCACTACAAGAGTAACTGAATAAGCCATTCCAGAGTTGCCCATGCAACCCTTTTGTTTCAAAACGAGGCTAAGTGCAAAGCCTTTGATATGAAAATTACCGGTATGTCTATTTTTTCCTAGCCAATAAAACCCCTTTTCATAAGAAACGTTTTGCACTTGGCCTCGCTTTGAAAGTGAGATTTCTGGAAATCGGAAGTTGCCTATTCAGGTCAATGCAACGGGGATTATTATTATTATTATTATTTTTATTTTTATACGGCCCTATGATAAATTCATTCAGATGAGTGTCAAGGAAAACGTTCCTAAATGACCGTGATGAACGTTTCTTAAACAAGTTCTTTTTCATTTTTACAGTCTTGGGTGCCATCGCTTACTGGCTGTTCGGCTACGCGTTTGCCTTTGGAGCAGATGGCAATGGTTTCATCGGTCACGAATATTTTGCTCTGTCTTACCTGCCTTCTGGGACGTTCTCTCATTGGTTTTTCCATTTTGTGTTTGCGGCTACAGCGGCAACTATTGTCAGCGGTGCTATGGCTGAGAGAACTGAGTTCAAGGCTTACCTCGTGTACTCTGTATTTCTGACTGGTCAGTTACAGTCATGTTACTACACGTACGAACCAATACATAGCTTAAAGATAAACGTGCACTGGTCGGTGTATTACGAAGAGCATAACAAGGGGAAAACATTAGTGTTAGTCGCGTAGGGATGTCCAGAAACGCTCCAGGCCAAATTGTAAGAAAAGTGAAGAATGTGATTGTTAGGAAGGGGTTTGAAGTCAAGACCGTTGAATGCAAATGAAGACAAATTAAAGACCCATTCACAGGGTTAGTCTCCAACTAAGCAGAGAACATGATCATCCATTTTCAGCTTTGAGAAAACCCGGCTTTACAATAGCGTGTTTCCCTGCTAGCAGAGGTCTCTCTCTCCTTTCTCTCATTTTTGCCTCGTCGTGAGAGACCTCTGCTAGCAAGGAATAGCGTGTCCGATCTAGGTGTTGAACAAACATTTAAATGAATTATCATGTTTGCACACATTTCTCTCACGTCGCATCAAATACAACAGTGAGTGAATAAGAAAAAAATGCCTTATTTCTAATTAAATCCCACTTTCTTCAAGTTCTAATCACACCCTCTCCGCCTTAGCTCCACTTCTTAAACCAGGCTTAAGTAAAAGGAAAAGAAATGCACGCCAACTCAATTTTTATTTTTTAAGGTTTCCTGTACCCGATAGTAACTCACTGGGCCTGGGATGGTAACGGTTGGCTGTACAAAGGCGTAACATACGACGAAGGAGCCATCACTTACCAGGTAAGCCTTTCATAGCACTTCAATGATCAGTTACAAATTTCTCCCCGGCTTATCAATGCCTAATAAATCAGTTCAACAATGAGCATATAAAGTCGATGGTACCTAACGAAATTCTCGCATTCACATAAAACGAATTTGGATTCTCCTATCGAGGAAGAAGGCTGATTCCTGGCCAAACGGAAACTAATCGTGTGTACGGGTCTTCTTGTTGGGAAAAGCACGAAGAGAAAACGCTATGGGAGCGAGAAAGAAAATTTCGGAGGAGACAAGACTCGGGAATGCTTTTCCTCTCCCCGTAATCTTCCCCCTCACGCCCTGTTTTACCGAACTTTCATGATTCCTCCCCCACGCTATCCTATATTTGACAGCTTATTTTTCGGGATAATATATTGGAATGCAGGTTAAGGGCAGCAATCGAAAATGTCGAATGCGCACGTCCCAAGATGTATAAGCGGCGGAACTGACACTACGTACATAAAACATAGACTTTGCAAGACGTCAACAATGATGACAGAAAAAACTTCTACAAAACGCGGTTGTAGCCGTAGTGGCTTTAAGTGACCAATTGAGGGGTTGATCCATCGGTCCTGAGAGTCTGTCCTGTGTACTTTGCCAGATCCTGTAAAAGCTAAGCCGTCTTTAGGGCGACTTTACCTGGTGCCCCGTTGATGAAAGACTTGTACAAGTGCTTTGGGTACTGCACCAACTTTATCCCCTGTCACCTTGCAAGATCCCCCCATCCCGATCAAATACCTTGCTGTAAGAGCTTGGGACGACATCTCCCAGGGGCCCATCCGTGGTAGACTTGTTCTAGTGCTGTCGACACTGCGCCACCCTTACCCACTCTCTCTTTGCAAGATCCCCTCCCCCCCCCCAAACTCCTCCCGATCCGCTTCGTTTATTGCAGTTGAGGACATCTCTTTTGCGTCACTATAGGACTTTGCTGGAAGTGGCGTTGTTCATGCACTCGGTGGGACAGTTGCCTTAGTAGGTGCAGCTATTGTTGGTCCAAGAATTGGTCGATTTGTTAACGGAGAACCTCAGCTGTTGTCTGGCCATACCGTACCGGTAAGTCAATACTAGTCCCAGTTCCTTTCCTCTTAAAATCAGCGCCCGTCCATTTTCTAACAGAAAAGCCGTGGGAACAAGGTTGTATTTCAAGGAAACAGATGACGTTTTGTCTGAAGAGCCACTCAGAGCGAATGATGACCTATAAAACTTACGAATGGAGTTCTCTATGAATAAGACTGTACAGCTGAAGTTTTAAAACTGGCAATACTTTAGATTCCATCAATAGGCTGAAACCTAAAATCACTTCTAACACAGCACAGTGACAACAAAGATAGGGATTAAACTCTGCTTTTGCCTGAATCAAAGATCAAGAACATGTACGCATTTTAGTCGTTAATTTTCTCGTTTTTTTTTTGCTCTAATAGTTTTGAAAATAATATTTAGCACAATCACCCCTGACTTTTGGAAGAAAATACTCATATCAAAAGTGGAGCAGAATCCATAACCCAATGGGCTCCTGAGGTGGATGAATAAGTCATTATTGTTTTGTTTCCTTGGTTACAGCAAGCTGCCTTGGGTGGATTCATTTTGTTCTTTGGTTTCTTGGCATTCAATGGCGGTTCCCAAGCAGCCATCGCTAGCGCAGGAGATGCTGACACCGTCGCACTGGCCATTGTTAATACCATTATCGGAGGTTAGCTTTCAGTTCAATATTTTTGTTTGTGCGCATGCTCATTTAGGCCCACGCTTCTATTGGCCATCTTGAGGCCGCGCTTTAGTACTGGGTCGGTTTGTGCTGAATTGCACTGTGGGACTGTTTTGGGGGATGAATTTTGACCCAGGTTTCCGCGCAACCTTGTAATAGCCAATAAGAGAAGTGATAGCCTCCCCAAAACAGTCCCATCCCAGTCGTACACGTAACCTCAAAATTGGTGGTAAGCGCCCTTCCCTCTCCACTCTAACGTACAGAAAAAGTTTACAAGACACCTCAATTTGCAGTCTCCTCTACTCTAAGGCCCCTGCTTACTTTAGAAATTAAATAAAATACAAGTGAGAAACCGCTTTCAATTTGTTAAACTAAGTGGCACCAGGAGCCCATAACCCGGAGCGAGCGACTTCCATGAGCTCGTGTCACGGCGTTTTCACGGACCAGTTTATTTTTAGAACGGTTTTGGTGCGAATTTTGAATATCTTTTAAATTCCACAAACCAGTCAGCCAAACCTACAGACTTAAAAATGATATTTTGCCTTTTAATAAAGTTTAGTTTTCCTTTTTGATATCTTATACTTCGAATGCGCTCATAGACATGGTGATTGTATTTTCGCGGGAAAAAGTGCCCTAAAATGTGTCTAAAAATAAACTGGTCCGTAAAAACGCCGTGACATAGGCCTAGTATAGGAGTTGCTCGCTCCGTGTTATGGGATCCTGGTGGCACCCCACATCCTCCAACTTAGTTTCTCTTAAAATTGCGGAAATCTCGAGTCGTGAGCGTTGTATGTCTGTAATGGCAGCCACTCTCTTTGTTTCACAGTACTATACTTATAGTAAACAGCCTTCATTTAAGCTAAGCCTGAATAAGCATCCTTGACAATCAATAATGACGAACTCGGGGAAAAGACCATAACTATGTTACAGTTTTCGCCAAAATGTGTTATCGACATCCCCTTCTCATTGCTCTTAAGCATGGTATTCTCTTAAAGTTGCAATAACGATTGATCGCCGCGGAAGCTAGCGCTTTGCGTCCTTATCCTCAGAAAACCCTTCTAGACACTATGCGTCCAGTTTTTTTCCCAGCGCAGGTGATAACCGGTCAATTATGAAACAGATGTCGGCCTTTAATGGTCAGATCGGATCCTGATCGAACGCGTGTCGAATGCGTCCCACGAGTTAAACGGCTTTAACGCGTTACTCCTCATCTTCCTTCCGAACCTAGTGCAAAGCCATGGCAATGTTAGCGAACAGGATGCCCATATATAAACATCACAGTTTTTGACTAATCCTAGGCTTTAGTTCGTCTTTTTTATCCCATGTAAGGGAATCCAAGACAGACTTGGATTCTGGATTACACATTGTGGATTCCGGAGTCCAGGTACTGAATTCTGATTCTTTGTCAGTGGTACTTGGATTCCGAATTCCACAGCCCATAATTCCGGATTCCCCAAGTAGGATTCAGGATTCTCTTACATGGGGTGATCTTTCGTTCATTGTGGAAATCGCTACGTTCTGTACAACAATCCTCTTAACTCCAGCTGCAATTACTGTCTACATTTATTCTGTTCTCCATTTTCCTCGGTTGTGATTGTTACCCTCGTTAAACAGGGCGGTTTTTTCCATTGCGTAAATAAATCACCTTTGTTTAGCAAGTGTTTCACTTACTAATCCTTAATAAGCGCATTAACAATCTCTTCATGCGGGAAGCCAATGACTTAATCAACTCAGAAAAACAATCCAAATTTTGTGTATTTGGATAATTGATGAGGTTGAAGAATGATTTCTTTTTATTGCATTTTAGGAGCCGCTGGTGCCATCACTGCCATGATTATCAAGCGTTTGGGATATGCAGACAAGTACTGGAGTTTGTTGTTTACAATCAATGGAGGACTGACTGGAATGGTGAGAAAGACAATCAGAATCAGATTTATTTGCAGATTTCAGTTTGGATTGCTGTTTTTTTTAATTGGTTGACATATTTCACGCGATGGAGTAAGATCACCGCGGCAAAACTAGTCGTAACTTCAGTGCGCGCGTTGTGCGAACGTACGTTTTCCTTTGCTGCGTTCGGGTCGTCCTAACGCATTTATTTCGAGTTGGTATTGCATTATAGCCGTAGAATGAGCTTATTATCTTTTTGTTTGTAGCTGTTTGTATAGTGAACAGAGCCGAATTACCTCTCTAAAAAACCTTTCAATGAAACTGCTATGCTTGGCCGCATACTTTGTTAGCTTCACTTCAGTACTGTCTCCACTCAGCTTTCGCCATGCAAATGCTTAGGTAGCTAGCACAAAAACAACGATAAAAACACGTTAGAGTAAGGTCTTGCTTTTGCCCAGCCTAGTCCCTAGGCGTTCTTGGCTTGGTCAATCCTGGACTCTACCGTGAGCTGTGACGTCACCGAGAGATACACGCGGACAACGGGGCAAGAGAGAACGCCTAGGGACTAGGCTGGCTTTTGCCTTGATTGGTGGGGACTGAGGTGGCTCGAAGGTTTTAAGCTAATTATGGTGGCAAAGCTCACTGCAAAAAAAAAAACAAACAAACAATCACGACACCTTCTAATGAAGCAACTCTCGATTCGATCGTTATTTTGTAGGTTGCTTTGTGCGCTGGTTGCAACGTTGTTCATCCCTACGCTGCTTTTGTAATTGGTATTATCGCCGGAATAGCCTATGTTGCATGGAGTACACTTGTCGTCAAGCTAAAGATCGATGATCCTCTAGACGCTGTAGCAGGTAAGAAGAACAGCAAAGATAATGAGTAGGTATTGGATTCGGTTTTGGTATGATATGAAGAATTAACCAGATCCCCATGGATGTTATACGCCTCGGTCGATCTGCATAATGCATCAATCAGCTGAAACTCCGCCCCCCAGACCCCCGCGACTTGGTGGGGAATTTAACATTGGCCGCGTGTTAAAACACCGCTAATCCCCGGCTCCCCGGGGCCAAACAGTTTGTTAAAAGCTCCGTATAGCGGGACATTAGTAGGTCATCAAAAATAAACACGATTCAGTATTTGCTGGTCTCAACTGTACTTGTTCCTAAATTCAACCGTATTTTTAGCTATACTCACCAACTTCAGTGAAATTGATATGACCTACATTCAAATCCGATCATGGTGTGCGCACATCGGGCCGAGGAACACTAGGGAGGGAAAGACCTGGGTCAGAAAATCTACCCTTAAGACCTGAAACAGTGTCATGGAACTAATTCTGATTATTTTGAAAATGGCTTCTGGAAATCCCTGGCCACTTTCCTTTCCGAGAGGTGCACAGCAAATCGGAAATCTCATCAAGCTGAATCAGTGAAAGAGATATTTATGATAAAATGTTTCGTAATCGCCTTCTCTTTCTTTCGTATTTGCACAGTTCATCTCGGTGGTGGAATCTGGGGAGTTTTGTCTGCGCCCATCTTCAACAAGGATTCCGGAATCCTGTACGATGGTGGCTTGCTGTCATTCCGTGGATTTGGCTGGAACCTCTTGGGTGTGATTGTCATCATGATCTGGTCAGGTTCTTTGGCTTTTATCCTGTTTCTCGCAATGAATCTTATTGGGGTACTCCGTGTTGACAAAGACATTGAACTGAGAGGTAAGTAATAATCCTAGTTAAAGAAATTTTACATGAAAATGAAGAGAAGAGGCAAGAGAGAATGATCAATTCTCTCTTGGAGGAGGCTATTAGTATAAGTAGTCATGCGACTTCGAGTTCAATTTGGCATCTATTTGCAAGAAAGTGTGTTAGGAAGATTTCAGTCGCTGGAAGATAGAGGCTCTCAAAAAGTATCAAAATTTGAGCTTTTTGAAAAACACATGAGGGGAAATAAATTCCCAAATTTAATGAGAAAAATAGTATTTTACTCTTTAGTGATAAACGTGAAAGAATTTACTGGATCACAAATTCGTTCCCTAAACAATCCTACAGTAAAATTCGATCAAAACAACACGGATTAGTATCTCTCGCAACCTAGCTCAAACGGGCAAAAAAAGATTGGGCACGAGATTGGATCTTATGCATTTCTTTTGTTTGTCAACCCCTCACAGTGCTCCATCCTCTGAGATATTTGTTTTATTTTCTTGTTTTTGCACTGTCTACTAAAACCCGCGTTGCTAAATCACAGTACTTGAAACTAAAATGATGCAATGATTGCCTCAGGTCTCGATATTCCCAAGCACGGTGAGCCCGCGTACCCATTGGACAGTTATGGAGATGGATGGAGCGAGCAGCCTGACCCAGTAAAGACAATTCCGTTCGTACACAAGTCCACTTCTCAGCTTAATTTGGCTCACCTTCAGAATGGCTCTTCAAACCCTAAAGAAAAAGGAATAGACAATCCCTCTGTGATCGTGCCCGTGGAATCTCCCAACACAAACTCAGATACGGCATTTTAGAAACTACTACATTACAAGATAAATTGGGGCTCGTCGGAAAAGATACTTTAATTAGGGAAATGGCAAGAGGCTTTGCAATCTTAACTAGCTTTCCAGCATTTTAGGTATTCCTGAGCTTAAAATATTTTAGTCACACGAATTCTATGATATTTATTATTGCTTCAAATTGTAGCTTTTTTCTATAGGAATTGTCAGGCACCTAAGGATACCAGCAAAGTCACTAATGGACGTTATGGGGTTTCTTTAAGACTCGGCGTCCACACTAATGTGCTTCCTTTTCGTTTGAAACTGAATGCGCTTTGTTCTCGCGTTCACACTTAAACCGTCGAAAATAGCAAGCGCTTTTTCCATTATAACCACCGTTCAAAAGTGTTTTGTCTTTACAGTCATAAATTTCTTCTCCAGCGTCTACCAAAAGGAAATTTTAAGATGGTCGATGAAGGGATGTTGTCGAGTGAAGAGTTTGTGACTAGACAGTATCGCCTTATTCGTTAGTGCGGACTGAACTTATTGAATTGGCCCCAGTTGTTCAAAAGGGGGATATCGCTATCCATTGGATGAATCTCTATTCCTTTGGATAGAGCAATTGGCTTCCCTTATAGTTATCCTCTGGATAGCGGACATAGATATTTATTCGGTGGATGGCGCTATCCAACGTTTAAGCGATAAATCTTTTGACAGATGTGGGCTTAATACACTGGCCTTTGTGTGAATGTGAGGCTGAGGTTGACCTTGTTTTGGTACAAACCTCCTATGTTTTCTCATAGATATTATGCTTGAAAAATACTAGCTAGCAAAAGAAGAACACGATTCACATAAGAAAGCTGGAGGTGCTGCATCAAAACAAGGTCAACTTCAGCCTCATTTCCATCTATAACTATAAAAGTGCCATTCTCCTTGCTGAAACTGTCAGCAGAGAGAAGGGTACAAAAGAAATGAGATCAGGCCTTGAAATTTTTTCGAAGCATTCGGTTTAGGCGAGGGATTTTCGCCCTTACTGAACTCCGCCCAATTTAATCATGGCACACCCAAGATGACCTAGGAGCCTACAGGCTTTGGATACACCAAGAATGAGTCTGCCCGAGAACAATCCTCAAAAGACTGACACAATCAGCCTTTGGTATAAGAAACGCTGTATGCGCTCATATCCGCTGGCTGTTCAAATTTGTGGGGTCTTCGTGATATGGAGATTTCACCTTAAACTGGAAAATATACGTGCAAATGTAAAATGTAAATACACCAGAAATGTTTATTGCTCAGAAACACAACAAGTGTACAATTTATTTTCTTACTCGTGTTAAGTGTGATATTAAATGAACTAAGCTTTAAATAGTGTTTTAGCTGATAATAAGTAGATTTGCGGGATCCTATATTTGGGTCTCTAATTCTCGCAGAGGATTTTTTCGTCTTTTTTGTCTTAATTTGTCTTATTTGGCTCGTATAATAATTTGCATCACTACCTAGTTTTAGCTATGGTTAAGAGAAACCACGATTTCCTTTGCCATTATTGCAATGCGCTGAGGACTGAATGAAACCCGTTTTTTAATTTGGACAACTGATACTATAGCAAAAAATGCTTACATAAATTATCAGTCTATTTTAACAAGTAACAAGGTGCTGGGTTCTGAAATATCCAGACTCAGCAACGTTCGTCAATCACTCAGCCATAAGTTATCGAGCCCCAGTCAGGCAAACGTATTTAAGATTTGCTCAGTTTAACACGTTGTTATATCAGTTTAGTTATGTTTGTAACTTAAGCACAGCTTTGCAAGTTATTTTTGAAATAAACGTTACTTCACATTATTTTTTGACATTGTCTCTGTCTTGGTGAGTTTTTGCAACAGTTTCCGTTAGATACTTCTGACTATTCTTGCGAGGTGCTGCCTTGCTCCAATTCAAACAGATATCAACTAGAAATAATATCCACTGGTTTAAGGACGTAGAAGGCATTTGAGACATTTCGAAATAGACCATGAATTGAAGTCTGTTTTAAAATTCCTCCGCAGGGTGCATGATGTGATCTTTTTACCCCCACCCTCTGGATAGCGCTACAGGTTAGGATCTGTGGCGCTGTTAGTCTGTGTGGTGGGGGGAGGGGGGGGGATTAGGAAAGGGGAAATGGGGAGAAAGAAATCTCCTTCTTCCCCTTTTTGGCCACCACTCTCCTCCAACATCTTTCCTTTATGCGCCTGGTTAAGGCGCTTTCTGGCGCCTTTACATAAAGTACTTGGGATATCCCCGTACCTTCTGTGCTACCTTACCCAAATACTTTGTAGTTGATAACTATGTCTCACTCTGACGGAATCCTGTAATAAAGATTCTAATTTTTGTACCTAGCCGTAAACAATCTAATAGGGTTGATCAACTACACAAAATGATATGTCAGTTATATGTAATTTAATATAATACCATCTAGAAAAGAAACGATGAGGGTAGCCTTAGTAGCTGACGTTCCTGGGGGGAATAAAAGAAAAGATAGAAGCGAAAAGTGAAGGCAGCGACTTGCTCTCTTCCTTCTTCCCCCTCCCCGCTAAAATCTCTTCTCCACCTAACCCCTAAGGGGAGGCAGCGTGGCCGAGTGCTCAGCGCGTCGGAATCGGAATCCGGTGGTCTCGGGTTCGAGTCCCGCTCTGGCCACTGACAGAATTATATTTGTGGTCGGCGGTCTCGAGTTCAAATCTTCGGCCACGCTTGTAAATAGCCAACTGGTTACCTCCTGCCAGTTGGGGTTTTTAATCCTGCCAGATGTTGCATTTGACTTCTATATTTAGTAAGTATTTAAGTGGAGCGTCTGTAAACTGGCTGGATAAGCTATGTGCACTTTCAGATTTTACCAGCTTTACCTGCTTTTTCTGGACACAGACCTGCCCAGAGGGAATGGGCACGAACGGGGCTCACAGGTACCATGCAAGGTTCAGGGCGGAAAAACGTAATGAGCATGCGCGAACTTTTTTGCCCAGATCCCCTGGCCGGGTTTGAAAAAATGGCGGGATTTTAAATATTTTATTGCCTAAAAATAAAATGTTTCCACTCATAACCTGGAAAGAACAGGCAATTTGTCTTCAAAAGTTGCAAGCTGTGGTTATAACCTTGTCGTTAGTAAATTTTCTCGAAGAATACCTCATAGTAAAACGGACTTTAACGACATTGATTTCCTTGCGTTGTACTGGAAATGTGCATGCGTAGGTCCGATTTTTTTCGAGATACATTCACAAAATGTGTTCATATAAGGAAGTTCCTGGATATATAAGGTCCGAAGCTCCACCGTGGACACAAAAACAACATATCTTTGGACAGTGATTTGCCCAAAAAAATTAACGCTTGCCCACAATGTGTTTGAAGTCACTGAACTTTGTCGCACTCGAGCTGATATTTTAAAACCCTCGCTCGTCGATCGGCACTCGTAGTTTCGCAGATCACTAAAATGTAAACAAAATCCTCAATGTAGAAGTTATAGCGTTGCCTTTATGTAGGCAGAAAATAGGTCAATCTTTATCTAGGAAAGTCTTCCCAAAAATCGGTTTCAAAGCAACTATAGTTTTTTAAACTTGCTCATTTCGCGCAGATATATAAATTTTGCTTTGTGTTGTCAAGTTGAACACGCATAACATCTGTCAAAAACCTACGCGTAAGTAGGATTTCCTTCAAACAAAGTTAAAGTTACATTATTTCAAAAACTTCTTGCTGACAATGAAGAAATGAATTTTCTGTACGAAAACAACCTACCTAAAGACCTTAAAAGCAAAAGATCAGTTGCAACTTGGCAGCCAAGCCATGATTCACCATTTAGCTATTTTAAGCTTAACTGGTCCATGCGAGGGTCTTCGTTTAAGCAAATTAAACTCAGCCGATCATTAGAAAATACAGAAAATTGCATATAAGGGTTTGCTCGCCTCAGTCAAATCCAGCTGCAGCCGTTGTTTACGGGAAAAGAGTCAATTGTTTTGAAGTCACTGCCGGCAGTTGTCGTTCTCTACTTCACAGCGAGTGAAAAGGACAATTTGCGTACAGAAAGTTATTCTTATAAAGAACAGAAACTTTTACAGTGCACTGGAAAACAAAACAATGTAATGAAAAATGAAAAAAACTCTGACTACTATTACTTGAGCAACAGAAAAATGATCCGAGTAACCTTGCTGGCCTTCTATTTCCGAGAAAGTTTAATAAGCGCACAAGTTTGTTCACTCTGATGCGTTATAACAGCAATATGGTTCTTTGACTGACGACAAAGATAAAGCTGGTTCTGCAAAGGTAATAAATCTGGGCGTGTAAAAAAAGTAACCGTAACTACTAATAACAGAATACAAGCGGGTTTTAATTCAACCAGCAGAAATCAACTCATAAATTAATCGGATGCACAATTAGAAAAAATACTCGCCTCTTTAAAAATGTTCAAAACCTTTTATTCCACCTCAGACTGACGGAATGATCCATTTTTCCTTTAACATTGGTTGTTCTGAATCCAAAGTAATTTTCAAGCGACGAAAAAAAGCAAACATGTCAAATAAAAATGCTTTACAGGGAGCAAACGTTCGCACCTCGTGCATTTCGGTGCATTTCACTCAGAACTCCAGCAACAAACAAACACAGTCAACACACAGAAAAGCCCGCCTTGAGCCTGCGGTAAGGGATGCGCAGAAGCTTGCGCAGAACGTTTTTCCGCCCTGAACATGCAAGGTGCGTTCCCTACCCAATCCCACAACCCGTAGAGGTTGGCCACACCATCAGCGTCTACGTCCCCTACTCTTTTCGAACAGTGGTGTGGGTTCTTTTGCGTCTTACATGAACAGATCAGTGAAACAAGCCTCTACCTTTATTTACTTTTGAGGGTGGATTTCCACTATCGCAAAATTGTTACGCCTTTATACGCACGTTTAAATTTTACGCGCGTAAATAAGACGGAGGCAATGTATGAAAGGTCGCACCTTACACGTAAAAGTTGAACCTCGCTCAACTTTTACTTTTAAGTGCGGTCTTTGATACATTTCTTCTATATTATT